TGAGCATCTGCAAGCTCTGTGGATTGGTCCTCCGATCCAGGCATCAGCTAAGCCACCACCGGCACCTCAATCCCATTTACGAGATTGTAACAGCTGCTGCACGTGAAGCAGCTATGGTATCAAGCGGTATACCAGAAGCCTTGAGGCCAAATGTAATTTTCAGAACAATGACAGAGAATGATTCAAGGCGAAAAACCCTTTACATCTCAACAATTATCATATCGATAGTCTTTGTTGTCTATTTCTTGTTCTTAGGGCAAAATTTCAACATTTGTACTATGATAAAAATACTTCTTTAGCACAAATAAAAATATAAACGTTAAAAATTCTATTGCGAGTTGACTTTAAACTTTGAAAGAGAACAATTTCATGGCCGATAAGGCATGATACCTGATAACACAAAATAATAAACTTTTTCATTCTTCGTAAGACATAGCAACGATCAATTGTTGTTACAATTCTATCTGTAGTTCTGATAATCAATCTAATGCGATGGAGTTGTCATATAGACAGCCTATGTTGTTCGGCGATCAGCATATATGCGACAGTGGTCCGTGGAATATTCGACTGTTATGGTTACATACACTCGCCACATTCACATGGATGTAATTCTTTGATCTTGTATTAACATATTCGGCGCTGACAACATGCCTACGACGATAGGCTCACGTATGGTTTCCCATCGTCGTAATACATGAATATAACCGCAACAACTGAACTCTAACATGGATCGTTCACTCCTGTACTCAGCACTTTCCGTTAGCGACTCAAATGCAGTTAGACTTCAGCACCTCAACTGAATAATATGTATTAGTTGCGTTTTTAGGAATCGTGTGACACCAAATCATGGGCTTTTAGACAGAGAAGACAATAAAGACAAGGATCAGTGTCAACGTCATTCAGAAACTTACTGACAGATTATGAAAACGTGATGACCGTACCCTCCGAATACGGTAGGTCAGACTTTGGATAATACGAACCAGTATGATACAACAACTGCAACGTTCATTGATACTGAAACAAACTGTCGCAACGCGTATGGACAGGAAGAGTTTCAATACCGTCACACTGGCTGGCAGTAGTGGCGGACATTGCACAAAATTCCATCAGACAGGACGCTGCTACAGTCCGTGAACATGAACAGAAAGTGACATATCTGGACTTGTAAATTCACTGACAAATCAGTCTAGGACACCTAAGCGACTTAATCAAAAAAGTCAAGTCTTTCTAGATCCATGGCACTTTACCGGTAGCCGGCGGGAAGGACATACATAAACAACTGATGGGCTGAATTTTCGGGCCAGATGTAATGTTCCCAACCACAGCCTCGTTAGACCTGACCAAAGAGGTCCCAGGCTTACCGTTTGACTTATCGACAGTAGACCACATGAAATCGAATTTCTACAAGTCATGGCAGGCGCTTGTATTCCAAGATCTCTACCAATTCACGGACACTCGTAGTTTCTCAGTCATCGAAATCGGCATTATATTCGCCGACACTGCTAACCGAAGTAAAAGCGTTATTTTAACGGTAATGCTGACAATACGCGGTGAGACATGTCTTGTATTCAAAAGACGAACGTTGCAGTTGTCGTACCAGACTGGTGCGCAACATTCAGCAGTCAGCAATACTAGTGCCTATGCAGACGTTCGGAACTACATCCATCTAGCTAGCGTTGCGCCAATTTTTTTTAAGAGTGACGATTATATAACCAGAACCTAGTAAGTTTTACTCCGTAACTCACGGGAAAACCAAAGTCAAAGAAACGAAGTTTTCGAATACCGACACTTCGAAGAATAGAAACAACAGAATATAAACGAAAACACAGAAAACAAAGAAATACAACAGCAACGAAATATCTAACACTACATACAATCACAGACTCACGCTCAGTCATTATGGGTATCTTTGGGCATCTGAACGGCAAAGAAGGGAGCACTGTCGCGCACAAGCAACGTGTGACACACCTCACAGACTCTGGCAAGTTTTTTCTGAGGACCGGACGGCACAACTCGACTCAGACATTGGTCACAGAAGATTTTGCCACAGTGTCGACAGTGATATTTCCGACGCTGACGTGTGAACAGCTGCGTGCATGAATTGCATGCTATTACGTCGTCTTCGTCTTGCCATCGCACCTAAATGCAAGGAGGAACAACAATGCAACATATGAGGCAGGACTCGATTTGATAAAATAGCAATAGATGAACAGAAATCAGACTAGACATGAATCGATTTGGCCGTCACCTCAATTTTATACTGAGAAATAGAAATGCCAAAAAATCAGAGAGCAATATACTGACTTCTCTGCAATATTTTTACAAAAGATGTTAACGTTGTAATTACCTAGTTTAAAACGGCATTTGTACCTACATTAATCGATACGGACCCGAACAAAATGAAGTCCTTATCCATCTGCTCCTAGAAAACGGAAAATTCCCTTCCTATGTCTCTGAGATTTCGGAAGTTATAAAACCGAATAAAACTGCGCATCACTGAAGCAAGAAAAAACGGAAATAATCTTCAGCAAGTTAATATCTGCATTCACGCCCAACTGGGAAGGAGTCAAAATAAACAATTGAACATCGAGAACCCCCCCCCTCACTTTGAATCTGAAGCTAGAAGACGAAGTTAGCGAATCAAAATTAATTCAGCCGTTATTTAATGGTTAGAGTCGTTCCAGAACTTTCAGACCTCCTTCCGTTCGCTCTTTTGTTGTCTCTCTGTCAACTCTCAAAACTTAGTACGTCATTGCCGTAAAGCGGGTTCAGTATACGCTCTCATATGCTTACCTCATGTTCGCCTTGGCGAATCTTTTCCAACTGAATCTGCAGCGACTGCGACAACCGGACAAAGTCACGCTGTACATGCTCTGAAGTGTCCAGGGCGCTTTGCAAAGTCTGGGCACGCTGTTGAGCCTTACGGAGGGCGGTCTCGTTCTCAGACTTTTCTCTTCGGTAGGCGTTGACGGTTTTCTCCAGATCAGCAATGGTCGATTGGTGTTCATCCAGCTGGTGCAGAATCTTGTCCTTCTGCCGACGGATATGCTCCATCTCGCTTAACTGACTGTTTGAGATAGCCAATTCCGTACGAAGATCGTTGATCTTCTCCTCCAGCGCTGCTTTGCTCACCTGCTCGCTGGCCACCTGAGGAGAAAATGACGCTTAACAACCATCGTCACAGATTTACAACAGACAATTATAGTTAATGCAAATTTTTTCATCGATTCTACGTACAAAGACGCTACATCAGTACCTCAAAGATCATCTATGCTTCATGCTTGCACGAGATAGTTAAACAGCAATCAGAACATCACAAAAAATTAAATATGGACAAAAAATCGTACACATCAAACCTTGATCACCTTAACTGCGGTTGTTATAACTTTCAACTGCCCAAAATACCGGATTATGGCAGCTCTTTGAAAATATATAATAACGGAAATCTTAGCAGTTAAAAACAGTGCAGAAATTTATGGGAAATGAGTCATTTGCTAATTGTCTGCTGCCCACAAATTAGTGAACACTAAAAAGATCAAATCAAACGGTTCACTGGCTCAAAGTAAACCCGTTGTGTAAAGGAGTAAAAGGGTGAATGTGAATTTTAGAAAAATAGCTAATATTATAAGACTGTTCTTCAAAACGGTACTTAAAAGTCATGTTATTTTTTGCAAAACATCATTACAAATTATGATTACAAAATATAATGCATATCTTCAGCTGGGATCAGCAAATAAAGTTAGCCGCTTCAATTAACTAGTACCTCAAGGTGATCTTACAGAACATGGAAATTATCCTTCCTCAAGTACAAGTCTCCATAAACTACGAAATAACTTTACGCTCTCAGAAGCAACTATTAAAAATGTACGTGGCACATGTAGTATGAAATTCAATAAAGAAACTAGATTTCGACTTATCTCACAAACTTTAAGCAACCTAATAATTTCATAACGGGACAACTTGAAACAAACTAAATGCCTTTAGAGTGGATCTGGACGTTCGCAGCGCTCATATAATTCACTTGACATGGCCACCTGCTCTCCTCACATAATGGCACTCTTTTACTTTTAAATTTACTTTTATACGCTGACTCATTTTTAATTACTTAATAAGAAAATTTATCCTGGACGTGAACCAGCTAACTCCTAAGTGCCGACAGTTTCCTCTACACAGCTGTCATTATATAAACTTGCGAAGAAACGACAAGTTTTCTATCAATTGTCACTCTGAGGTGAGTTGAATATTTTCATCGATGTGTGTTTTAATCAAGTGGCGATTACTGCCCAAGTCTTGATAAAATTGCAGCGAGAAGTCACTGATGGTAACAGCACGTCCTCTGGAATAAGATACGCAGGACGATAAAATACAAAGATGATAGACCTTCTGATTCCATGGTTGGAGGCATGAGAAAAACAAAAGAACAAATTTATTTGTAACAATTCCAATGTTTCGATCAAATTGGCGTCATTCATAGTCAGGAAACGAACAGGAAACAAAAACAAAGCTGGGCCAGTTGGTGATTGACGCGAATGATTGGACAATAACCTGGTCGCCAGTTAGGAGGAAGCATTCGGTACCATAGAAATAAAGGCTGGCAGATTACCATCTCGGGGCTCCCATTCATGAAAAATGCAATAGGAAATTCTTGTTACTGGAGCTTCAACATATGCATGCGGATGGAAGGCGACTGGAGGTCAGGTTAGCTAAATCTTGGAAGGGAATCTAAAATTTATTATCTAAGCAGGACTTTTTAAAAGTTAAGCAAAGGAAAAAGAAAGATTAACATTGAAACTTTGATTCAGTTAAAAAAACACCATATTACAAAGCTAGAAGCCCCATGAAAGAAAGAGGCTATAAAGTGCGGAGATGTAATATGGTCGGATAAGATCTTTTGTGATTCTTTGGTGGCTAATCTTAATGATATCACTTTCAGTGAGGTAGAAAAGCATATGCTCGTTCTTGGTCCAAATTTTGTCTTCTTGTCAAGGATTCCACCTATTTCTAATTTTACACCTGGAATTGAAAAAGGCATTCATCAACCAAGAGAGATAATCAAAAAGAACCGAAAATATGAGATGGTAAGCGAAATCTTCTTCATCTTCATCTTCATCTTCCATCCGCTTCTCCTTTCGGGTCAGGGAGGCAGACGCGCCAGACAGTGTTTCCAACGTTCCCGATCCTGTGCCAGAGTCGGAGTTTCGGCAAAAGAAAAATGCAGCCTGGAACAGATTCCTTCCATATGTTTGCACCAGGTTAATCTTGGCCGTCGCCTGGGCCTTC